AAAAAAAAAAAAAAAAACAAAAACCCACCACCTTAGTTGTATGTGGCTGGCACCTTAGCCACTTGAGCCACAGGCACTGAGCCACAAGCCCAGATTTAAAGATTTAATAGTTTTGTCTTATAATGAAAGAAATCCAGATTCACTGCCTTGTGGCAAAATGTTACTTACATGTTACTTAGATGGTTTGGAAGAAATACAAGCATATTTTATCTTTCTTTTCAAGGTAATATTTTAAGCAAATGAAATCCCCATGGATACCATGTATACTTATATTTGGAAACAACATCTGCTCATTTGTTTAAACATGTTTAAAGTAAAGAATTTCAGTAGGTTTTAGACCCGTTTGTTGAAAGTATAGGGAAAAAAAGTCTTCCAAACTGACTAGCCTTCCTTAGTTTACCAAACAACTGAGTGACATTAGTGAAAATAGAAATGTAACAAGCTAACAGAATGCTAAAATTTTCAACACCACCAGCACTTTCTACAGTTTGAACTGTCCATCATGACTTAGCAAGCATAGACAATGCTAAACTTTTTCCATTTAGATTCACCTGTTTTATTGCAGAATCATTTTGCACTTGAGATGGATTGTACGAAATTTCAAATTTAATCAAACACAGGCCAAGAACTTTGAAACATTGTATTATAAGACATTTAGCCATAATCAAAATATGGCCAGGTGCAGTGGCTCACACCTGTAATCCTAATCACTCTGGAAGACTGAGATGGGTGGATTGCTTGAGCTTACAAGTTCAGGACCACCCTGAGAGTGAGACCCCTGTCTCTACTAAAAATAGAAAAACTAAGGCAAAAGGATCACTTGAACCTGAGAGTTGGAGGTTGTTGTGAGCTATGATGCCACAGCACTCTACCAGGACAGCAGCTTGAGACGCTGTCTCAAAAAAATAATAATTAAAACAAAAAAGGAATGAAGTTAGCTTGGCATCTGTGGCTCAAGCGGCTAAGGTGCCAGCCACATACACCTGAGCTGGCGGGTTCAAATCCAGCCCGGGCCCACCAAACAAAAATGATGGCTGCAACCAAAAAATAACCAGGCATTGTGGAAGGCGCCTGTAGTGCCAGTTACTTGGGAGACAGAGGCAGAAGAATCGCTTGAGCCCAGGAGTTGAAGGTTGCTATGAGCTGTGATGCCACGGCATTCTACCCAAGGAGATAGTTTGAGGCTCTGTCTAAAAAAAAAAAAAAAAAAAAGAATGAAGTACAAAAAAAATGAATAGCAAAGTAATATAATTATATTTCTGGTAGAATTTTGGATTCAGAGATTTTTTGTTGTTGTTGCAGTTTTTGGCTGGGGCTGGGTTTGAACCCGCATATAGAGCCAGCACCCTACTCCTTTGAGCCACAGGCACCGCCTGGATTCAGAGTTTTTAAGATGTTAGCATTAAATATGACGAACGTTAATAACCTTTTCTCAGCTTTTCACTGATATTGCATACACTTTATCTATTGAGTGAAGGTACAACCTCTGAGCCATCACATGCTTCTATAGTCTAAACAGTGGTAAATTTCCTTTCTACCCCATTTCTTTCTCCTCTTTTTTCAATCCCATTTCCCTGTTGTGACTCTGTTTACCTTTTCACTGTGACTCTTTTCTAGTTCTTTTGAAGACTCCTGCCTTTTGCCCCTCTTTATAATTCCTAATATTCCTTACAGCTTTGTTTCCTTATTACCCACTCTTCCTTTTTCATTCTTTCTGCTTGGCTTGGCTTTCTCCTTTAATTATCACCACCTCTCTCCTAGCTGTCAAGGTACAGAGCTGGATTACATAGGTGGGAGCCCAGCTGGGTTAGGGGTGGAGACAATTGTGCCATGCTTTGAGATCCTTCTCAGAATCAAGAGTTAGATTTGTTTTCTCATGTTTGGTTGTTCTGCTTAAACAAGTGTTCAAAAACCCCTTTGGTGGGGTCAGTCCCTTTCTCCCTGCATTAGTGTACAACTGTTAATGTAAAAAGTTTAATTTTATTCTCTCTTCCTTGTTTTACTTAGGTTTTTTCTACAATACTGTGGATACAATTTGTCATGACTATTTGAGGTACGTTTATTTAATCTCATGATATGACTAAACTACTAAAAGCAAAATTAGAGGATTCTGTAATTTCTACACTTTTCTCCTGAAAATTTGCCTTTTGCTCTAGTTAGAAATAAATAATATTCTTTACTGTCTTAATTTTTTTCAAATAAATTGTCACAACATAAATGACAATAGGAATAAATAATAGATTAAGGGATAAATCTGAAAACCAGTGGCCAACCTGTTTAACAGAATTGATTGCAACATAAAGAAACTTTTTAAAAATTAATATGAGGTACAAATTTTTATTTATTTATTTATTTATTTATTGAGACAGAGTGTCACTTTGTCATCCCCAGTAAAATGCCATGGTGTCACAGTTCACAGCAATATCAAACTCTTGAGCTCAAGTGATTCTTTTACCTTAGCCTCTGGAGTAGCTCAGACTACAGCTACCAGCCACAGCGCCTGGCTATTTTTTTATTTTTATTTATTTATTTATTTATTTTTGGTAGAGACAGAGTCTCATTTTATCGCCCTTGGTAGAGTGCCATGGCGTCACACAGGTCACAGCAACCTCCAACTCCTGGGCTTAGGCGATTCTCTTTCCTCAGCCTCCAGAGTAGCTGGGACTACAGGTGCCCACCACAGTGCCTGGCTATTTTTTTGTTATAGTTTGGCCAGGGCCAGGTTTGAACCCACCACCCTCAGTATATGGGGCCAGCGCCCTACCCACTGAGCTATAGGTGCTGCCCTATTTTTATTTTTTAAGAGACAGGGTCTCAGGGGTGGCACCTGTGGCTCAAAGGAGTAGGGTGCCACCCTGAAATATACTTTTTAATGAAAAGAGAATTTGGGGGCTGCGCCTGAAGGTACAGTGGGCACTGTGTAGCACTTTACTCACTGAGCCACAGGCACCACCTCAAAAATTCCTTTTGAGTAGGGAGCTTAAAAAAAATAAAATGAAACGAGAATTTTCATGTTTCAGAATAGATTTTGACTATGCAAATTATCACTGTGTCACCCTTGGAAGAGGGCTATGGTGTCACAGTTC